TTAGTCTGATTGTAAGTGAATTATCTGTAATTGTACGTATGTGTACTATGTAGCGCAGTGATCTTGTTTCTTTTTTGTCGTCATCAACCAACTCGGAGTTGGAATGCCGGAGGACCAGTTTGTCCAAAATGTTGGCCTTTGTCTTAACTCTTACTGTTCTACCATAAACTTGTGTGATGCACACAGAGAAAAGTTTCCACTGAACAGCCTCACCATGAATGCAGTCCAGCTCTATGCAACACCATATGAGCCTCAAGCAGTCTGATGTTGGAGCTGTATGTGAGAGCTTTGAAGTCTCACGTTTGGTATTAAGATGTCCGTCCGATCCAAGCGTGATCATAATTGGGCTTTGGGGTGGAGCTCCGATTGATAAAATGTCCATTCTTTACATCTTAGATTTCTTGGCTCCACGTTTCTACAGCAACAAAGGCCAGAGCTGCTCAGTCTGTCTTTATTATACACTTCTGTGGGCTCTACCAAGCACTTTGAGCCATTCTCTGTGGATAATCTCCAAGCTGTCAATTTGAATCCAGGCCCATTTGTTCAAGAAGGTGCCGCATTTTTTGTGAAAGCTCTGGGAGCAGCACAGAAAGCAGATTAACTGCCCTACAGTGCACCCTTCCTTCTGATTTAACATCAAAAACCTACTTTTGTCTTGTAGTCATATTAGGAAGTTATGATTTATTTTCTTTTTTATGGTGAAGCCCCCTGGGCATTGTGCTCCTACTTGAGTCCATCTTCTCTCGTCTCTGTGGAGCTGAAAGAAATCTCATGAGCTTCTTCCCCAGCACCATCTAAAAGCACATCTGGTTCTCAGAGCACCCCTCCAGGACCCCTTTAGCGATCTCCTCCCAGACGTGAACTTGGCCTACCTAATGTTTTTGTTCACGCAGTCTGAGACTGTCGTATGGACGGGTGGTGGTGGGGTGTGGGGGTGCAGGGTGGGGAACGAGAAGGAATTTCAACATAAACTGCCTTCTATTGACACAATTGAAAACATCAACATGAGGAACTTATGGGAAACAGAGGAGAGGGGTGTGTGTGTGTGTGTGAGACTGCTGGAAGTGGGGAGAAGCAGAGTGGTCACATTACATCATTTGAACGTCCTTATCCTCAGACCTTCTTTTGAACAGAGTTAGCTAGTTAGTTGCAGTGTCAACCAACCAACTCTTAGCTTTATGAGCTGAACAGAGTCAACCAGTTGTCCAAAGTCAAAATGTCACCGTTACTTTCAGCCGTCCAGCCAGCCAACAGTCCATCAGGCCTTCAATCACATGGAAGCGATTGATTAGAAACAGCTGTCTTCACCCATTCCCTCTTCCCCCCTCCACTGACTCCCCCGATGACTGACTTCATTGTTTCAGCAGTCCAGCCCACTTTCTGTAAAAAATGCTGAATCCTTCCATCCTTTTTATATTTTTTCACAGTCACTCCCCTCTCTTTCTTCCCTCTCGTTCACGTGTTTTCACTCTTCACATAAACCAACTGCTTCAAATTCAAAGTCCTTCAATGTAGGTGGTGGAAGAAAACAAAATCTGTTTTGCAGATGAAATTTGGGTTAAAACTATATAACAATCTGTTTTATTTCATTATGTATTTGTACAAGAATGTAAGAATTTATGATTTCATTAATACATGTTTAAAAATAACCGAGTGACTCTCCCATTTCCTGTTCGGGAGCTGTTGCTAGGTACGGATCAGCGTCAGAAGATTCTAGATTTTGAGCAAAGATTAGTCATTCACAGTAAGTTAGCCAGTCGATAAAAACATTTCACTGTAATACAAAGATGTTAGTACTTGAGAAAGTAACAAGATATTTTTAGAGCAGAGTATTTGTTTCTAATTCACCGTTAGCATTGTTAGCTCGACATTAGCTTCTAGTCTTCACTTGACATCGGAGAAAAAACAATGCAATGACTTCCAGGCATCTAATTTCACGGTTTCACTTTGCTGCTGCTATTTTGGCATTCAATTACAAATGCCGGTGCAGCAGCACTTTCCGGTGAAGACTCTGCAACCCTGCAGGGTCACAGATTGCAAACAAAGACTACACCCTTCTTTGGAGAAAAACTGTCAACCATCTAGCCGACTGAGAATTAAATCTGTTTCAGTGTAATCTTCCTTCCAACACAATTGAGACATTAGACGGTTTTCTTATTATTTCGCTGTAGAATTATTACATATTGTACCTTTAAGGCCAGATGGGGGTATGAATTTGTGATAAAGAGGTTAAAGAACATAGAACCAAAAGCAGAAAGGTTTTAGCCACTATTCATGTCTGGTGAGTTATCAGAGTAACACTGGGAGCTATCAGAATAAATCTCACCTGCAATCATAATAATCACAGACTTCCAAACAAACACTAAGAAACTAAAATTATGGATAAACATGGATGAAATAGATATAAAAAGCATAAATTGTACAAATTTACAGCTCAGGCAGAGGAAAACAATTCTTGAATTATTCACAAAGAGCTGCAGAGTGTGCAGATCTCAAAAAGGCATCTGTTTTTTTAAGTCTTGCATCATTTGAAGCGCGGTGGAAGCTAAGTACAGTTGGATTCAGAAAACAAGCATGGAGCAAAGAGGAGTGAAGCAGCAAGCTGACCTCGCTCCACCCGTCTCCTCTGAGTCCAGAGAGCCACGTCATGAGATGCTTTTGTTGTCTTATTTTTCATCCCCAAGCTCCTGTTATCACTTTGTGGGGAGGAAGAAGAATCCACTGTGGGCAGCTCGTAATGTTGGTTAACCAGAAGGAGTTGGATCACCACAGCTTGAAGCGAGAAGAGAAGGAAAAATGAGACACCCTTCCCCTTCAAACCAGGAGCTTGTGACTGTGTAATGTGATGTATCGGATGGGTGACCCGCTCTTCCTCATTGTCTGGACCCGATGTGGGTCAAGCTCATGTGAAATGTCCGTGAACTGTAACAGAACAGATGAGTAAACAGGACACTCCAGTAGGTCTAAACACCTGTAAGAAAATCTCAGTCTTCGTTGGTTTTTGCTGCTAAATTTACAAATTTTACACAATAAAACATTTAGTCAAACCATAATAAGCACGATTTAAAGACCAAGTTCACTTGTTTTTTTTCCCCAATGCATTTGCAGTGGTCCCTAGTAGGAATGCACGCCTCGTCAGTTTTACTCGGGGGACAAACCACTCAGATGTGCCTGTTTCAGGAAGTATATGTCAGCTGCAGGAGAAAGTAGCTTCAGTCAATAGGAATTGGAGTCAGTAGGTCAGGTGGTGGAGCGGGTTGTTCAGTAATCGGAAGGTTGTAGTTTCGATCCCGGCTCCCACCAGAGAATGTTGCTGTTGTGTCCTTGGGCAAGACACTTGACCCATCCTGTCTACTGCTGGTGGGCAGAGGGACTGATGGCTCCAGTGCTTGGTATTCTCGCTTCAGTCAGTGCACCCCATGCAGCTGTGGCTACATCGTAGCGCATCATCACCAGCGTGTGAATGATTGTGTTGTGAAGCATCTTGGGGGTTGTATAACCCTAAAAATGCATTATACAAAACAGGTCATTGACATCCCGATACCTGGGCATCTTGCTTCTGATTGGATAACAGCAACATGACTCTACCACTAACTCTGTTTGCATTGCAACACCGATGCTTTATCTCCACAAATAACACAAGTCTGAAAAAGTTCTGCCATGCTGTTTAGTTGCTAATGCTAATGGTTAGCTTCTACTAGCCGAGACGTTTTCTGCTGTTTCCTGGATGCTAAACCAACAACAGCCTTCCCTGTCACGAGTCAAGATGGGTGACTCCATGAATGTTAATTTTCAGTGTGACATATATCTCTCTGCATGGGTTTTATAATCCGAGCATCTCCCTGTCTATTTTCTATTGGTGGCTAATGAAGGAAGTAGGTGTAGAAAAGTATTTTCAAATTTAGCCTGCATGAAACTCAGAGTGACCAAACCTATAAAAAAACAATGAGAACGAAATTGTTTCTCAGTGAACTTACTCTTTAAAGTCTCAGGGAAAACTTGCACTACAGGTTTAAGTGAAACGATTAAAATTAAGTTCCTCTCAAGTGTATTAAAACATAGAAATCAGTTCTGCATCATCATTATGATATGATGATGTCACAATCTACAAACCACCAAAACACACCTTTTGCTAAATGCACGTTTTTAAGGTAAAGGTGCGATAAAGGGAATCTTCTTTATTTTTTGCTGCCATGGTGTTTACTATTTTCTTCTTATTCATTGGTGGGATTTGTTGATGTTGGGCAAAAACTTTAAACTACAGCAATTGAACTTTGCAGGAAATAAAAAAAGTGTCTTTATTTGAAATTCAGGTCAAAACTCTCAAGCTTTTTTGTTTTTTTTACTTTATTTATTCCTAAAATTAAAAACACGTGTGACCGAATTATGCAAAAACATAATCATTTTTGAAAAATATGCAAAGTTTAAGCATAATACCAATATAATTCAAATAAAAAAAGAAACAAACGGAAATGATACGTTTAACTCCACCAGTCTCCTTTAGGCCACTCTTGCTGTTCCCAGGCCTGTTCAAAGAAGGCAGTTGCACCTTCACAACTCCTCCATCCTCCACTCCCCTCTTCTTCTCCCTGCTCCCCGTTGGATGGACCTTCTCGGGGAAACGCCAGACTGTTGCGCCCTGGGTCGTCGCATCAAGGTGGACAAAATCAGGTCTGAAGTTCGGACGGACTTCTTCAAAATAAAAGCCCGTGCTTAATCGAAAACACTAAAGCGAGTGCACTATATGTAACTGGACTCAGTAAATGTTTATTAAGTTAGTTTTCCAAACAAACTGATCACATTTCACAACTCTAATGGAATGTTTAAGATTATGGTTATCTAATTCATAATTGATTCCTATTTACTGAATTAACGTTTTTCTTAAAAATAAAAATATGTGGATTTTGAAGATTAAACCGGATGTTGGGAGCTGGACAGTCTTCTCAACAGTCCTCCCAGCAGCAGAGACCAAAAAAAAAAAAAAAAAAAAAAAAAAACACAACCCCTACACTCTCACTCCAATGCACAATGAGCGCGCACGACGCGCACTTGGCTCCGAGCGCGTCCAGCAGCCACGGAGTTTTTCCTGCAGGATTATGTGTCTGTGCGCAGCCCGGAGAGAGGAGAGGGACCGCGGGAATATAACTTGACTCGCTTGAGGAGTGTTTTGTCTGTGTTTCTGTGCGTTTTTGTGGAGATACAATGCCGTTTTGTAAGCGCACGATACTTCCCAAAAATGTGTGCAAGCCCCACGGCAGCAGGAGGAGGCTGCGGGCGGAGGTGTTCGGGGAGCTGGCGGACGTGTGCGGCTTGTCGCTGTGCGCGGTGCTGCGGCAGCTCTCGGATCTGTCCCGGAGCTCGGTGAGCATCCTGGAGGAGCTGGAGGGGGAGCTGGTGTCCGTGTGCCGGCGCTCCGGCGCTCTGGAGAGCAGGGTGCTCCGGCTGCAGAGGCACGTCTCGGTGCTGCTCAGCCAGCCTCCACCCAGAGGTAAGGAGGCAATGAGATCCACTCGAGTCAGATAAACAAAATCACCCGGAGGCACGTGGCTTTTGTTTGGATATCAAACTTTTTCTGGCTTTCTGACAAGTCATCAACGTTTAGTTTATTATTAAACTGTTGTCATAAAAAACAAGCGAGTTATTTTAATCTCTCATTAGTATCGATCTGAGCTGATAAGACGTGATACTGAAAGGTGTTGGAGCTCATTAAAGTGAGGTGACAGAAAACCGCGTGAGAATACTCTCCATCCAGCACACTTTTTACAACTTGTCCCGGATGGTCTGGTTTCCCAGACACCCCTGAACGCAGCATGCTGTGGGTGTGTGCGTGGAGAGAGTCTCTCTAATCCAGCTGCTGTTGCTTGATTGTTTTTATTTACCTTTCTGGGTTAATTACTGATACATTAGATAATAGTCAGGATATTCAGATTTTTAAAAATTAACTGTTTTCTGGCAAGTGTTAATTTAACAATCATTTAATTTTCTATTTTATTTCATATTGCACAACAGGCACTTGCTGCCTGCAATAACAAGAATCTCCACCAGAGGGAAGAATACATGTACGGGTCACAGAAAAAAGTGTGTTTCTGCTGAAGGAGTTGCAGGGAATTTTTGGAAAGCAGGAAGGTGACAGGGACAATGTGATGGCTCTGTCCTCTCAGCCGTTGTCTCCATATAAATTCAGCCCTTTCAGGACTTTGTTACATGTCAGCATATCATGACCATTTTGGAAGTGCGTGATGTCACTGATCAGCACCAAAAGGCGTCCACGGACATGACATTAAGAGTTTTACAGTAATTTAATCCAGCCAGGGAGCGGCTGTTTGATATTATAAGTCCATGTGAAGAAGTGTCTCTGTGAGACCCCAAAGCAGTGTAAAAACAGCGTTGTGGAGGGATTTAGCATTGGGAATTTAGAAATGGTGGTTTTAAAGTTTAGTCACTCGGTTGGTCCCTAAAATGGCCCGGAAAATAGTTCTTTTAGGCCGGCCTGGTAAAATAGTAACTCGCATACCATGAAAGTCAGCTAAAATAACCAAGAAGTTCCAGATGGTGGAAACAGGCCTATAGCGTAGGTTTTAGAAAAATGCACTAATACCTTTACCAGAGCCATTTTGGTGCTCTAGGCAAGATTATGTATTTAACAGAACAAAGTATTTTCCTTTTTGCCATCTTCTCATTTTAAAGTGTCCCATACAACGTAACAGGTTGCCATACCATCCTTGCTGCTGCAGTTCAGCAGGAAACCTCCAATCTGCTGATCAGTAACACATCTCATACAGTTTTTTTGCTTCAAGCCAAACCCCAACAGGTTTAATACTATACTAATACTATAAACAAATACTATTCTAACAATATTAGTTCTTTAATTAATTAATTTTGAGGACATACAGCAGCACCCCCACCAGCAGGTGGCGCCGTAGCTGATTGACTGTGTAACTTATGCCAAGCATGTGTCTCTAGTTGCCATTGAAACTTTCTGATAACGCAGGAGTGGTGCAGGGTCAGGGCTAGCCGTTTGGGTGCCCTAAGCACAAATGCTCTGTGGTGGCTTCATATTAAGAAAGTGTAACTAGGACTCATCCTTTAAAGTACCGAATGAGACTTTTTGTGCACTACATTTTATTTATTTATGTCTACACATTCATCTGACTTTACAGAGGCAACCGACCCTTGTTCAAAACAAGTTTTCTTTTCTTGAGTTAGATTTATTAGGAGAAAAGCATCTAACTCCCCAGAACTTCTTCACAATATCTATCTATCTATCTATCTATCTATCTATCTATCTATCTATCTATCTATCTATCTATCTATCTATCTATCTATCTATCTATCTATCTATCTATCTATCTATCTATCTATCTATCTATCTATCTATCTATCTATCTATCTATCTATCTATCTATCTATCTATCTATCTATCTATCTATCTATCTCTACAGTAAAAAGTTACTGCTACATCCCACAAATGTCTTGCCAAGAAAAAAAATCTATCATGTTAAAATAATTTCATGATTTTATTTAATCCACTACACAGAGGATAATGTTCATGTGGGCCATCAGCATGAAATTATTAAAGTTATGAAAGCAAACATGGCAGGAATCTCAGTTTTACTTCATACCAGCCAGTAGGGGAAAAATACGTTTGAGGAATTGTGGCCCCTCTAAGTTTCCGTAAGGTTGGCTCGATTCTGCACGTAAACAGGAAAAACACACTGGTGAAGTGGTAAGCTGGTGATGTTGGCCTTGGGATGATGTTTGAGATGATGAACCCAACTACAGCAGTCACATGTAAACAGGGTTTGTTTTATTAATCAATCAATCAATCAATCAATCAATCAATCAATCAATCAACCAACCAATCAATCAATCAATCAATCAATCAATCAATCAATCAATCAATCAATCAATCAATCAATCAATCAATCAATCAATCAATCAATCAATCAATCAATCAATCAATCAATCAACCAACCAACCAATCAATCAATCAACCAATCAATCAACCAATCAATCAATCAATTAATTAATTGGAGCTAATATAAATTTCACAATGTTGCACAGCTCCGACTTCAATTGATGTTGACATACATAAAAAAAACTCAAACTAACATGGAAGTTATGACTTTGATTAGCTTCCATAGCTGAGATCTGTTGTTGCTAGCTTAATGATAATGAGTTAGAGATTCAAGGCCTACAAAAAGTACCCCTTTATTTAATTTCTGTTTGTTTATGTACATTCATGTACCCCCTAAAAAAGAGGGATTTTTCAGTTTCAGTCTGGGCCACTCTGAGTAGCAGCCAGTATTTTGGTGCATTTTTAGATTTTACACCACAAGTTGGGTGTTGCATGGCACGACTCAGTAAATAGTTAATCTCCTACGCTGCAGGACTAAGCTACAGTGAGCTTAAATTTTGATTTTTATCTAACTAAATCAAGCAGTGGCTCAGTGAGACTTTTACTGTTTGGACTTTCTTTGTAAAGAAAAAACTTTTGCTTTTAAAAACTAGATTGTTTGATATAAACTGGACTGAGTTTAAAATGTTTAAAGTTCAGCGTTGATAGAGCCCAGCAAGTAAAATACGAGCGGATGTCCTTTGTAGAGAATCATAACGTACTAATCAAAGGTTTGAGCACATAGACCGTAGTAAAGCTTTAAATGTTCAAGTGGACTGCCAGCATGTCCCATGCATGACAAAGCCCAGATGCATGATGGGACATCTGCAAGTCTTCAACATCGCGCACGGATGTCCCATTGGTTGTTTTTCTTTGTTTGCATTACAGCTGAAGCTAGGGGTCTGTGAGCCTGAGGCAGTCAGCAGGACATGTGTGTGTGTGTGTGTGTGTGTGTGTGCGCACGTGTGTGTGTGTTAGCGTGCACAGCACTATATGACAGAAAGAGAAACTCCCTTTAAACACAGACCAGATGTAGAGCTGGAAGGAGAGGAAGAAAGATATGAAAAATGCAACTAGTGCTTTAGTTGACTGTGCAGAAAGCTTGTTTGTGTGTGTGTGTGTGTGTGTGTGTGTGTGTGTGTGTATGTGTGTGTTTGTGTACAAGTGTATTTGATGCAGATATCTTTCTTCTTTCGAAATCCTGTGTGGGTTTTTACTGCACCAGCACCATGTGGGCAGAATCAGAGCTAAATAATCAATAAATTCATTGCGGGCCTTCATCCCTGACTCTTCCTCCTCTCGTTGAAACTCCCACTGCTTTAGTAAAATTAGAAAACTCTAATGTACTCATTACCAAAAGAGTATAAAATTTGACGTAATTGTTTTGCGGTTTGGTTCGTTGTTTTGATAAAGGAGGAACGTATTTGATGGGAGAATGGCTGGTTGTTGGTGTAGCGTGGACTAAAAGATCTTTGCATAAACAGTTCATAAGTAATCTTCGGACAGTTAGATAAAAACATTCTCTAACTGAAATGGCTGTTTTCCTTGGATGATCTAGCTTTGAAATCTTGGCCGTTGCCATAGTGATCGGTGCTCAGATCAGAAATTGCTTTAGTCTTTTTTTTAATGCTCCATGTTTTTCTTTTTAAGCATTAAATTATATTTATAGTTTCAGAAAAGGAAAATGACTGATTATTCATTAATATTTGATCTTTTATGCGAGATTTCATACAAAAAAATTCGGCAAAAATTAGCTTTCAAAATTCATGTACATCAGTTGTTTTTGGATTTGATGCTTTTATTTTGGGCTCAGGTTCATGTTTTGCATAAAAATGCATTTGACTGTTAGACATGAAGATAGCCCAAGTATCTACGCCTTCTTCGCCTGTTCAAATGGGACGTTTGCAGGCAGGTATTGTTGGAGCTAGAGTCCAGTCCTCGAGGGCCGGTATCCTGCATCTTCTTGTTGTTTCCCTGTTCCAACACAGTTGATTCACCTGTGCAGCAGCTCATCAAGCCCTCCAGAAGCCTGTTAATCAAAATCAGGTGTGTTGAAACAGGAAAAACACAAAAAAATGTGTGATAGCGGCCCTCCAGAACCAGAGTTTGACACCTGTACACGGTTGAAAATCCCACCTGCTCACCTACTCACAATCAACATATTTTAATGACCTGAACTAATTACAGTTTATTAGTTCATTAGTATTGGAAAATATTTTTTTTTTTTGCAATGGGCGCCAGCAATGTTGATCAACAGAAATCAACACTTGGAAAAAACTATTGTAAGGATATTTTTTTCCTATTAATTAGGGACATGGCCCATTTGTGTATAAGGAATGGGCGGAGCTTAAAACTTGTGTTGTTTCAGGTTCAACGTAAAAAACATTTGGATGCAAACTCATAAAACATCTAGTTTAGACTCTGCCCAAGTGTGGCCTGGGGGCTGTTTGTGGCTCTCTGAGTTATCTTTGTTCAGCCCTTGATTACATTTCTTGTGTTGTAGAATTTTGTCTCTCCAGGAGGCTGTTAGACCCCAGGGATCTCATTTATAAAACCTTGTGTAGAATCGTTACTAAAACCGTACTTAAGCT